CCCTGGGATCCCACCACACAGTTGAGTGCATAGCCACTGATCAGCATACTCTCCATCTGACTTGTCCCGTGGGCTTTCAGAATATTAACAGAATTGACTGGATATTGGAGATGGCCTCTTATATCTGTGTACTTAACTGCAAGTACAGCATCTACTACCATATTGGCAAAGAAATCACCATTTATTCCAATGATTTTGGAAGACATTGATGTCTTAGCAGCATTAATCAGGCAATCTCTTCCAAGTTCGTCTGTGTTAGTAATGAGGTTTTCACTGATATAACGCACTGCTTCCTTGCAAGCAAGTCGATAGCCACTAATAACTGATGTGGGATGAATTTTCTGTTTGACTAGTTCATCTGCATTTTTTAGAAGCTCTGCTGCAATAATAACCACTGAGGTAGTACCATCTCCAACTTCTTTGTCTTGCAGATCAGCCAGCTCACAAAGAACTTTGGCTGCAGGATGTTCCACCTCCAGTAATTTCAGGATGGTCGCGCCATCATTAGTAATGGTTACATCACCAATATCATCCACCAACATTTTATCCAAGCCAACTGGACCAAGAGAACTTTTCACGGTGTTAGCAATAGAAGCTGCAGCCATAGCGTTCTGGGAGCGGATTGCCTCCCCAGTGCTGTGGTCCCTGAACACGGACAAAGGCCCCTCCATCTTCGCGGCAGGGTATACGTTGAATTTTACTCACGCCGCGGGCAGCCACTATCTCGGTGCCTCAGCCGAGCAGCGGCCACTACAACGCTGGCGACAGCGTGGAGCGGACCAGAGTGACGCCGCGGGGGCTGCTGGGTAACACCGTTCCGCTCGCTTTATCGCACTACTTTAGAACTGAAGTTCAGAGAAATTCAGGCACAGGTCCAAAGACACATGGTTAGGAAGTGGTTGAGTTAAGACTCACGCCCAGTGCTATTTCCACCATCCTGTGCTGTATCTGTAGCTCACAGCTCACTTTCACATCCTTCCTGTAGCTCTCCATGCTCATAGCTTACCTCCTTTTGGGCCTCCTAGCAGAATGTAAAAAACTTGGGGGTGAGAAGAAGGGAGTGGAAAGGCCCAGAAGATAAAGAGGAGCCTTTGTAATTATAGATTTCTTCTAAGGTCTGTTGATCCATTGAAGATCTGTTGGAAATGCTGCTATGTAATAATACTCTATCTTAGTCCATTCCTGTTGCTGTAAAGGAATACCTGAGATGAGGTAATTTATAAAGACAAGAGGTTTATTTGATTCATAGTCCTGCATGCTGTACAAGAAGCATGGTGCTGGCATCTGCTTCTGGTTAGGGCTTTAGGCTCCTTCTACTTGTGGCAGAAGGTGAAAGGGAACTGGTGTGTGCAGAGATCACATGGTGAGAGAGGAAGCAAGAGAAAGAGGGGAGGTGTGAGGTTCTTTTTAAACAACTAGCTCTTGTGAGTAAGGACTCACTGCTTCCTACCCCAGGGAGGGCATTAATCTATTCATGAGGGGTCCACCCCCATGATCAAAATACCTCCTATTAGGTCCCACCTCCAACACTGGGGATCAGATTTCAGCATGAGGTTTGGAAGGTCAAATATCAGAACCATAGCACACGACTTTCTCCTGTTGCTTGACTCTCACATTGAGTTATGTTTTGAAATCTATTGAAGAATGGAATGATTGTGAGCATGGAGGAAAGATATATGGTTTAGAAACAAATTGGACATGTAAGGGGTTATTGCAACAGATTCCAATCAACAGAAGAACAACAAAGGCAGAGACAGTTAAGATCAAGAACAGGAGATTAGAAGGATGTTTAGAAGACATATTTGACCCAAAAAACAGTGGTGTGTGTGTGTATTTGAAAGAGAAAGACAGTTAGAGAAAGGAATGATTAATGACAGGGATGCTGCCTAGTTTTCTGATTTGAAAAACTGGATGGGTCATTTTGTTCACAATCAAGGTCAAGGAAAAACAGTTTCAAGGAGGATGGAGTAGTGCATGGTAGAATGCTAAACGACAGACAGAAAAAAAAAGATCATATCAAAGTAATTGGATTTGAAAATCAGGAGGTAATTAATGGCTTTGGAAAAATAACTGTCATAGGTAGAGACAGAAGTGAGTAGAATAGTGGGGTGAAATGGGAAAGTTGAGAAATTATTTGGAAGTGAGAAGGAAAGAGACTATTTCTGTAGTTACGCTGTGGAAAATTCATGGGATTTGGAATCTGAAGAACCAATTTCAAAACCTGGTACTTCTTACTTGCTATGCAGCCTTTGGCAAATCACTTTACCCATCTGAGTCTGTTCCGAGAAAGTGACCAACAACTTGCTCTGTTCATTTTCCTGTGATCTACTTCCTTATTGTGTGTCACAGGAAAAACCATGTCATGAGATTGAGGTGTTTTTTCTAATTATTATTTTAAGCAAATCTCCCCCATTGCCAAAGAATGGCACCTTCCAGTCTAAATAAACTGGGATATTTGACATTTGATCAAGTCATGGCTAAATGTTATAAGAGTATATAGAGCTTTCTTTCTGTAGCTCTGTTATGGTTATATGTGGAGGGGCTGCACATAAGTAAAACCTTTTTTCCAGTTGTCCCTTAATTGACAGTTAAACCTTGTCACTCAATAAGTTAATGCACATAATTAGTAGATGCACATAAAAATGTATTGTATTTTATTCTTTGGCATCACTTAAAAAGATTTTTTAAAAAGCATTTATAATTCCTTCAAGAGATATTAAATGGATATAGTGTCTTTTTTTTATTTCAGCATATTATGGGGGTACAACTGTTTATGTTATGTATATTGCCTTTGCCCCCCCTCCCCCCGAGTCAGAGCTTTGAGCGTGTCCATCCCCCAGATGGTGCGCATCACACTCATTATGTATGTATAAACCCATCCCCTCCTCCCCCCTCCCATCTGCCTGATGCCCGATGAATGTTATTCCTATATGTGCACTTAGGTGTTGATCAGTGAAACCAATTTGCTGGTGAGTACATGTGGTGCTCATTTTGCATATAGTGCCTTTTATCTTGCA